AATGCTAAGTCCTTTGCTAAGTCTTTTTTTTTTTAATTTTGGCATATGTTCAACAATTATGTAAATAATGTTGATCATATGCTTGTCATTTTAACAAATATATTTCTTCACATTCTTGATTTGATGTTCATTAAAATTCTGCACAAGAAGAATTATCTCCACTTACAAAATGTTGTATATATTTTCCAAATATCTGTGGCATCTAGTGCAATGCCAACATAAAATGATGATGTGGGCATGCTGAGAAGCTAACTACTCTGCTAAATGATTTTAAAATTAAATAATGTTAATTTTATGGGCTCTAAAATAAACATATTAAAACATTTTCTAATTCATTAGATAATCCTCAGCAGGTTTTTCTTAGTGCAAACAACCAAAATTTATTTAGACTGTACATATCCGTGATATCTTTCTTTATATAAAACTAATAGGTGTGCAAAACAAAGTTTCAGATTCCAATCCCCTAGCTTAGCTTCTGGTCAGTTTTTTAAGTGGGCATATTATTAATCTTAAAAATAGCATCCCCCTGTGGAAACATAAAGAAAAAGCATGTTCCTTGAAAAAAATTTAAAATTACTCTCTTTTTTCTTACTAGATATCTTTATTTTGGTTTGCTTTTTCAAAATTCCCTTAAAGAAAATTCAAAGCCTAAAACGGAATGCAGTTCAACCCTGATACTATTTTTGCCTTCACTGCATAACTAAAAAAATATTCACTAGCATCTAACATTCTCCCTGAGACATAATAAATATTTACTAAATGAATGAATATAAACATTCACAAATGATCATAAAAATTAAACAAGCTTCATTTAAAAATGTGAAATTAAACAAGAAATTGTGAAGGTTTCTGTTACTTCTTCCATTGTCCATTCTCACTCTGCACAGAAGGTGGCGCCAAAGACATATTCATCCACAAGCTAAGCCTCCTTCCTGTTCAACAAAGAAAGTAAGGCGAAGCAAAGCAAAACAAAACAAAACGAAGTCTTCCCTTCACAAATGCTTTTTTTGTGTCTAGCGTCCAGTAAGATTCACCTGGAAATAACTATTGGCTACAAAGGAATTGAAATTTTACCCAGGTGTAGTGAAGCTTTGATTCTTAAGTTTTTTTTTTTTTTTTTCAGGGGGATAGAATGCTGGGAAACAAGTTTCAGTTAAGTAAAAACTCTGGAGTTATAAAACAAATTGTCACACTTCAGAAATTATCTGTTGAACCTGGCTTCTAGCTCAAGCTGGCAATAGGGAAAACCTTCACTGTTCTAATGGAAATAGAGTTGAAATAGAGTCACTGTTGAAATCCCATTATCATGCAGGTTTTACCAATTTGGGTAGAGCTTTCTAAACTCGAATACTATTGAGCTCCAAATTAACTTTTACTTCTTCCTGTTGTCCCATAAACAGTAGTATAAATGGAAATTGGTGCTGAGAAAGGATTATTTTGATGCTAATAAAGGCAAATCTAAAAGATAATGCTGTTTTCTCTGAGACCCTCCTACTCTTAGTCTTTTTATTCTTAAACAGCTGCCTTTGAGTTCTCCCGGAGATGATGCAAACTTTTCACTTCTTTGTTTCTCACTCTGATTTCACTATGATAAACCCATCTTCTCTGAGACATTAGCTTCAAGTTTTCATATTCTTCATCTTAAAACTTCCTTTTCTTTGTGGCCTCATTCACTCGTATTTTAGAGGAGTAATTCCTATAAAGCTATTGTAGCCATTTTAAATACCCTTCCCTTTCCAGTTACCTTTCTCTGTTTTTCATTCTTTTTCTTTGCCTGCATTAAATGAGGAAATCCACCCAGCCTCTATGCTGTCTTTTTTGCGTACTGCCTACATCCCATATCTCCTCTGTACCTGTGGCTTCAGGTATCACTTCAATGAGACTAATCACGAATCTTGTAACAGCTTTAACCTGAATTCCACAACCCATGTTTTACATTGTCAGTCAGATCTCTACCTAGATGTAGCAGTTCTTCATACCAAAACATTCCAGACTGAAATGACTCTATCTCTTTCAGCAGACCAGCTCCTCCCCAACTTCCTTTTCTATGGCAGTAATATTTTCCTAATCAAAACTCCAAAGTCAGTTTCCAGAGACTCCTCTCTCCTGTCCTCCATTCAATCTGTTATCACCTTATGACACTTTCATTCCTGTCCTACTGCGAGGGCCTTAGTTCCTGTTCTTACAGCTCAGTCCTCTTCTATCGTAATACTCTGGCCTCTAATCTAAAGTCACCAATTATTTTTTAATTTTTATGCTACTTGCCAGAATTTGTGTGACAGCACTTAAAGCTCTTTTAAGAATTATTCTATTTTTCCTTGAAATTCCAGAGATTGGTATTTTGAACTCAAGGCAAAAACCAAAAGCTGCAGATGGTTCTGATATTAGCTGATGCTTCTTATAATTTTGAAAAATAATTGGCCCACAATGTGCACTTCTCAAAGTGCAGTGACATGGATAAAATCGATTGTGAGGCCTGGCCCATGGTGGGTCTGAAGAAGCCCTGCAGAGGGCAGGAACTGTGACTGCCCCTCACTCCTCAAAGAGCCGCCTAGTAAATAAGCCTGATTCCATTCCTTCCACATGGATAAGCTTTGGCATTCGGAGAAGGTCCGGTTCTGGAGAGTCAATGTTTATATTAATGAAATATCACTGGCATCTCAGAGAATGTGAAAAAAATATATTTTTGAACATCTGTCCCTTTATTTGCAAAACATTCCAATGAAGACCACCTTCCAAAGTCAGGTAATTGGATTAAAAAACTGAATTATTGGTTAAAATATAACCTGCCAACACTGACAGAGCGTGATGTATAACAGAAATTGCTATTGTTCACTTAGAGAACATTGTAGGTGTCCATGAGGGAAAACTGAGTGTAACAGCAGGGAGATCATTCGTGCTGACTGGGCTCCCCTTGCACATTCTTCCTCATAGGAACATGTTTTAGTGCTATTCTTCCGGTGGAATAGCAGATATCATAGAATGTTTTATTTTCATCAGTGTCTTTTGATAAAATCATCTTGAGATCTTTTCTCAATCAACATGGGAGAATTACTTCAGAAAAAGAAGACATAGTACTTCCATATGTTAGGAGAAGTAATTATTTAATCTGTAGCTCATGCTATAGAATAATCCCTGTGGCTCTGAAAAGGGCTTATGAGGTGTCCACAAATATTTTAGTTTCTATAGCAAAATTTTTCATTTTTTATTTCTTATAGGTCATCTAGGTAAGAGGTTGTTAAAAATTATAGCTGAATATTTAGATATCAATGTCGCTCTATAGGCCTAGCAAATATTAGAAATAAACACAATTGTTTTTGCTTTAAAGTACTCAGTCATAACTTTTCTTTCACGTAAATAATCCTGAATTAGCATCATAGGTATGCTTTTACTAAAATGGATTTTGGTAGTAATTGTTCTTGATAAATAGCCTTACAAAAATGAAGCAAATTGTCATGCAAATCAAATGTAGCTTAGATTTTTTTTAAAAGGAAGAAAAATAGGTTCTTATAATGAAAAAAACCATATTTTCATGAGTGCGTTCTGAATTGCATGAAATGATTTTCAGTTAAAACAAGTGACTTAGTTGAAGGGGAGGGCCATATACATACAAAAGCAAAGCAATATCTGTAGGCTGCTGAGCCAGAAGGCTTTTAAGTCAGATTACAATTTCTGCCTCTATAACATAACTAACAAACCTGATACCTCCAAACAAAGATGTTTTATTAGTCATCTCAGTGAAAGTATATTTAGGGAAAGGTATTTACCAGAAAATATCTGCCATCCTGCCTTTTTTCCGGTATTTGCATTACTGAGACAAGAGTTAGGAAAATTAAAGCTGGGTGAGTTTGCTTTGTTTCCAGAGAGTAATGGCCAAGGTAGTTCCCTGCCCAACCTTAGGAGCATCACTGAAGCCTATTTGTGGGAAATTGCCCTACCATGGCCCTCTGCCACGGCATCTGGGGAGCCCTCAAAGGAGCTACGTGCTCTAAGAATGGGGCCACATGACTCAGGCCGTCATAAACCCTGAGGCAGAGTCCCGAGGAGAGTGAGCCAGTGGAAGTGGTGGCAAAGCAACTACCGGTTGCACACCCAGCCCTAGGGTCATCAAGCAGAAACTCTCCAGGGGGCTTTGGAAGGGGAGGGGTGATAGTAAGGAGAGTTGTGGTGTGGGGATCCACTAATGCTAACTCAGTATATTAGGTAAATGTAGTTTGTATCTGAGTGTTTTAAAATCTGACTTTCACTACAGGTTTAGATTTTAGTGTGCTGGCATAAAAAGACCAAGTATAAATTTCAGTTTTGTAGAAATCAGATTTCAAGATTTCGCAGTCAAAACATTATATAGGTGATATAGTACATGTGAGCATATATGAGTATATTCTTTTTGCTAAACTGAAAGGAAGGCAAAGATTCAGAGCAGTCAAAGGATTGGAAGATGGATTGGGGGTGAACAGACCACCCACCACATATGTTCCTTTTTGAAATGTCTTTCTCATCTCCCCACATTTCCTCTGTTAATTGTCTACACTGAAATTAAGAGGAATTAGATCATCCGCTAGGTCACTCACACCCACCTCAAACTTCACACACCTTGGTCAACATGAAACAAGTTGGCACTGGTTACATTCTTCTCCACCATTATTTACTGCAAATATATGCATACTTTAATTTTAAGAACTCTTGTGATATTTAAAAATATACCATTTCACAAGATCCCAGATCCTTTGGTGAAGCAAGCACTGAAACCAGCATTTTTATCTGCAAGGAGTGACTCCAAGTAGTGGCATTCAGGTGTCCAATGTTGCTTTGGTTTTTCTCGTCAGCAAAGGCGAGCTACAACTTATCTTGACCTCGCCACTCTTCTCTGCTTCTTCCCCCCACACACTTGCACCAGCCCCCTCGCCACCTCCCCCTCGCCTTTCCTTCTTCCCTCCCCTTTATTCTAGCCCCTCCTCCTAGTTGAGTCAGTGGCTTGAAACTTTTAAAAGCTCTGTGCTCCAAGTTAGAAAAAAGCTTTTACGAGGTATCAGCACTTTTCTTTCATTAGGGGGAAGGCGTGAGGAAAGTACCAAACAGCAGCAGACTTTTAAACTTTAAATAGACAGGTCGGAGTGCCCGAACTTGCCTGTTCATTTTACTTCGTCCTCCAAGGAGTTCAATCACTTGGCGTGCCTACTTCACTTCTTTTAGGCGAACAAGTAAGTTGAGAAAAAAAAAAAAACTTTTTATCTATTAGTTTCTTTTTCTACAAGTAGAACTTTTTCTAAAGTTTTGAAATGCACTAACTGTAGTTGTGTGTATAATATTTTAAATGAGATGAGAACTTGAAAGTGTTTCTATGATTTTAAACTTAAAATTGAATATACCGGAGTAATATTTTGACTGTTAGAAAAAGTTTCTATTAATAATTCAACAGGTAAAAGTTTCAAACCTTTTGGATTAGAATGAAGAACTTTTAGTTTTCTGGCTATCTGGTACTTTTTAGTCTAATTTTATTTCCTTTTTTTGTAATCAGCAATAGTGTAGGTGCTCTGTAGTCAGTTGGGGGGGGGGTCTGGGGCTTGGTTTGGGGATTTGATTGAGTAGATCACAGACAGACATCAAAGTGCAGAATTGCTTAGCTTGCTTCTTGTAGTATTCAGCTCTGGACGCTGTTTCCTATGGATCTCTTTACTGATGTCCTATAGCCTTACAAAGCAAACGTGTTTTGTAAGATCTGCTTTGTTAAGACTCTGGTGATTGGACTTCCACGTGGTTCCTTCCTAGAATTCTGCCCCATTAAATAACAAGGTTTAAAATTCGGAGTACTCAGAGGCAGATTTAAAAATCAACTGTAAGTAGTTTGTGTTAGCAACCACTGTGCAAGGATGTGGGGACCCTCAGGAGAGCCAACTTTTGCTCGACCACGCTGGCAGCTGGGGAAATGAAGACCTTGAATAGGTGCAGGAGAGCGGACGTTCAGGAAAGAGGCTGCCAGAGTGCCCTCGCCACGTCCTCGCTGAAAACTGGGGGACGGGAAAGAATGGGGAGAAAGAGGGAGCTGCACTCTCTCCACCCCCTTGGCCTGGCGGATTCTCTGAGAACTCTGGAGCAAATGTTTGGGTCGTAGCCGCCAGGTTGTTAGCCACCAGGCAGAGACCACGCTCATGGTGTTTAGGAGGGTTCAATTTTTTAAAAGGCTTTTATTGGTAACACATTCGGTTTATCTGAGAGACGCAGCCATGCCTTTTGGTGCCCCAGTGAGCATTTCTCTGCTCCGTCCGAGAATCCAAAGACGAAAGCAGTTCGTTTAGATTCCTGGCTGTGACCCCGCAGTGCAAGTCTTTGCTTCGGAAGACTCCGAAAAGCAAATAAAAATGAAAGTTTTGCCGAGGCCGGGGGGGGGGGGGGGGGGTGGCCGGCGCAGCGCCGGGAGAGACGCCTCTGCCATCTTCGCAGCCGCGCGGCCCCTCCAGGCCCCTCGGCTGCCTGCGGGGTTTCGGCTGTTTGCGTGCAGCCCTCCGCCGCCGCGCCGAGCGCGGGTTCCTGCTCTGCCGCCAAAGGAGTCGGGGCTGGGGGGCTGGGAGGGCTGGGCTGCGCGCCAAAAGGCCGAGGAGCGAGCGATTGATTTAACTCAAGCTGTGGATGTGATCCCCAGCCTTCTCGCCCTCGCCGGCACTGTGCCCCCCCCCCCCCCATTTTCTCTTAAAGCTGGGCGAGGAAACCTGAGTACTTTGGGAGTTCACGTAATTGCACTTGTAATTCCCCTGGAAGTCGCCAAAACGTCCCCAGAGTGGGGCGGGCGGGGGATGGGGGAGGGGAAGGGGGTCCGAAAGACCCTTCCTGAAGCGAGGCGGGAACGCGTGACGTTCCTCAGGCAAGTCGGTTCGGGTTTCGAAATGCTAACCTAAGAGTTCTTAGCCCACCCCGGCCTTTCAATGACGCACGTTTGCGGAGCATCTCTGATAAGGCGTATCCAGGAGCCCTCCGTGACCCGCCTCATTCATCCCCACCCTAGGGGCAGCTGCTTTTCCTCCCTAGCTGCCGGCGGCAGGGGGTGGCTTATTTGGCGGTGGGCTTGATTTCCTCTGCTTCTGAACTAAGGAAATAATGGCACACTTGAACTCCATCAGAAGTGTCCCGACAAAGCCTCATTTTTGCTTGCTTACAAGGAGAGCGCAAAATAAATTCTGTAGTAATGTGAAGAACATCTCCCCCATGTGACTCCCAGAAGGGAAATAAAATAAGTCTATGAAATAAAAGCAATACCTTTGGGGAAAGACCATTTGTTCTCGGTAGGCCTAATTGAGAATTGTGCCAGCCCTGGGAAGGAAGTTCTGCTTGGCCGATGAGTGGGTGCCTTGTGCTTCCCAAAGCCCCAGAGTGGAGGTCACCTGTCCGTTCCGGGAAAGGCAGTGGTGCAGGGCTTTGCTTCTACCCTCTTCGCTGTTGAAATACGCCCCACCTTTTTCTAATACCTTTTGAGGTTTGTCATTCTAGCTGCCCCACCTTCTCGGGTTCTCACCCTTGGCAGTTGTGATTCCTCCAGTGCGGACCCTTCACGGGAAACAGGTTTCATAGAGACTGAGGCAAGCATCTTAAAAGTGTTTTTTGGATTTTGAGAATGGCTTTGTTACTTAGATGTTTCTAATTCACGCATAGAGAATAGTGGAGACCTCGTGATCCAGAGCATTCTGTCCCTTCTTTTGTAATATCCAGAGGTGTAGCTTTGGTGTGAACCCTGCCGCCTTTACATACCCAGAGGGAAGGGAATGATAGGAAAGTCACCAGTGATTAATACCTTCTACTCCACCTTTCCTGTTGTTCTGATTTCCCTACAAGATTCTCGGTTGTCTGAATAGATATGTCAAACCTTATCTGCCAGTGCCAGTTCAGCTCTAGAGAGAAAAAGTTGAATATCTAGTGTTTGTCATGAATGCCCATACTCAGTAGGTAGTTAAAGCTAAGAAGACAAATCCCCAGACCTTTTCCTCCATGGGCGATCCAAATTCTTGGCATAACTGCCTAAATTCTCCACCTTGCTTTAACTATCTGAATTCAGCTGTGTGTGTACAGACTTTTGCCAAAATTCAAACCATGGTTTCTTTTCTTAGTATTGTTGGCTTTTATAAAATCTCATAAATTTGACATCCTAATTTTGCTAGCTTAGAAAAAAAGTATGTTTGTTAGTGTTCTTCACTGCCATTTTATTGAAGAAAAGTTACCAAATTTAAAAAGTAAATGAGCTATCTCAAGACTTTTCAAGAGTAATTGCTGTGTATTACTGAGCTCTCACTGAACTTGACAAGCATGGGCTACCTCTTGCCATCATTATTGAAGAAAATAGACTGTTCTTAATACAGTTGGGCCCTAAGGATGTGTGCACATGATTGCAAAATAACAGGGCTGGGGAATATAAAAATAGCCAACTTGGAGGTGGAAGTGAGGACAGACGGAGAAAGAAGAAACACCAAGACTGGGTAGAAATGTAAAGTTACATAGATCACAGTTGAACATGGCTTTGAGCCTGTGGCTTCTGGCTTAGGGTTTTCCTCTGGCATCCCCAAACTGGCCTTGGCATTTGTGCAGGTGAGAAGTGAAGTGACAGCTGTTGTGTGTGTTGGGAAGGGTGGTGGTTGCCACTCTTGCGTGTCATGGATTGGCATCATCCTTTTTCTGGATAGGGTCCCTTATTCCTCAACTCCTAACTCATCTTTTTGTTGTGAAGAGGCTGGTGCAGGTTGAGGGCTTCATGGGGAGTGGGGAAGACCAGGGAAGGAAAAAATTGCTGGTATTTGTGATCCTCATCCTGCAATCTCTTCCCACCCCACCACCCCAGTTAAAAAAAAAAAAAAAAGGTGTTAAGGGGCTCGATGGCAAATATTAGACACCTGTGGAAATGGCTGGGGTTCTTATGCATAACAACAGAATCTGAGCAAAGAACCGTGAGGCATAATTTAGAACAGATGTTTGCCACATGGAGCACTTTGGCTATAAGATATTGTTAGGCTAAAGGCTAACTGTCCAGGATAAAGATGCAAAGGTCGGGTATTGTCTGAACTGGGAATATGTTCCATGGCACCTGGTTAGAATCACTTCACTGCCCACATACACACAGGCTATATGGAGATATTAATTGAGCTTAGGTTAGTATCATCTGCTGTTCATCCCCATCAGCGTCCTAACCTCCCTCTATGTGTCATTCTTGAAATAAGCCCAATTTTAAACAAGCTGTTTCTTACAGTACTGGTTTCAACTACAACAAAATCATGTGGCAAAGTCGAAGTATCCCAGAACTGGAGGGTAACAGCACCGGTTTCCATGTTATTGTCACTGTTTAACTTAGCCTGGAACATCAGAATAGTGAACTGATGCACTTCTGCAGGAATCCCATCATTAGCATCTCCAGAGTTTTAAGAAGCTCTTTTTACAAAGCCTTTTATCTTAATTCAGCAGCCTTCTTGTCTGTTCTAAATGATTTGAAGCAGGTTGCAACAATTTTTTCACTTGATTGTTTCACAGTATAATAGGATACGTTGATGATACTTTCTTACTGTAATGATATTTCTTAATGTTCTTGAAATTTAGGAAGTTTGAGAAATAAAACTAAGGGAATCCTAAGGAGACAGTTTTTTTTTTTTTTTTTTTAAGCAAGACCTGGTTCTTTTTTCTTTGAATTGTACAGGCTAAGCACTGAGGCTATAAACAGTAGACAAAACTCACATAGCTCACATTCTAGTCAAGAAAGGTAAAATAGTAATAAGTACATCTCAGGAAGACAAATAAGTAAATCTATACTATGTCAAGTAGAGCTAAGGGCCTTTTTTTTTTTTAAGTAAACAAAAACAGGGAATAGGAAATGACACGACTAGAGAAAAGATGCTGCTGTTTCATACTCGATGGTTGTGGAAGTTGGCTAATAAAGTGGTGAGATCCGAAACAAGTGAGGAAATGAGCCCCGTGGATGGAAGAGAGCTGATCAAAGTGTGTGTTGGTTTTAAAGCAGAATGAACAGGCTAGTGACATGAAACCTGAAGAGAGGTGGTGATGGCTGAGCTCAGACCTGCAGTGAGGTCATTATTCTGGATGCATATTGAGGCTAGTACCCACAGTCCTTTGTTGATGAATTGAATGTAGGTTGTGTTACTTACGTGCATGTGGGTTTTACCAAAAAGAACATTAGGCTCTTGTAAGTATAGTGGAGTAGTCACAACTGAGCTCAGACATTTCTTGCAAGGGGCAGGGTTCTTTTTTTTTTCCCCCTCCACCTGCTCCCCCGGGCCGCAGCAAGGGTTCTTACAAATGAAAGTGAGAGGAAAACATTAGGAAGACTTGCAATAGCATTTTGGGCATAAAATGTTTTGGTATATGGGAAATACGGAATTTCTCTTTGCCCAGAAAAAAGAATCCATTGAGTGCCTTAATCAGAAACTTCCATAGGCATTTCCTTATGTATTTTTAGGCTTCTTGATTTTGTTCAGAATCACCTGTTGCACTTGTTTTGAAAAACAACCAAAAACTCATTTCCCAGATCTTCCACTTAGAAATTGTCTTCCAGACTGGTGAGGGCCAGGAATGTAGTTTTAACAAGTGCTGCCAATTGATTGTGATGTAGTTCAGGAACACAGTAAAAAAAAAAAAAAAGTCAGTCTCTCAGACAGGTTGCATTTGATGCCTGAAGCTTTGAGAACCCAGTCCAGGGAGCAATGGAAAATGTGATCTAATGTGGTACAGAGAAGGCACAAGGAGAGCAGTCCAGCTCCCGTCCAGAATCTGCTCTTGGAGCTGGTGTTTGGTACAGCAGTTAAGAGGCTGCTCGGGACACCCACATCTCCTATCAGAGTACCTGCTTCCGGTCCCAGCTCTGCTTCCAATTAATACTTCCTGCCAGTGTGCACCTGGGAGGCAGCAGATAAAGGCTCATGTACTTAGATTCTCTTGTCACCCATATGAGAGACCCACCTAGATGGAGTTCCTGGCTTCTGGCTTTGGCCTGGCCCAGCCCTGGCTGTTATAGGGATCTGGAGAACAAACCAGCAGGTGGGAAATCTGTCTCTGTCTTTCAAATAAAATGAAGGAAACAAATTTAAACAAAGAATCTGCTCCTTACAAGACTTTACACAAGTCCTTAACTTAGACCGTGGTCTACATATAAAACTCCAATTGGAAACAAGTTAGGCATGAATTATATGTGATGCTCAGCTGCCTTGGTTTTCTTGTGTATCCAGTATGGAATATAACTGTTTTCTGGTGAATGAGACTGCACTATATATAGTCTGTATATGAGTCCATGCCAAGGTTTCTGTAAATATACTATGCCCTTTTCTTGTAAAAGGGCTTTATTTTTTCTACAAAAACTTGTAAAAATATTAAGTATTAAAGTGGGCTGGGAGATAGAACGAGTTGCTAGAATTTTTGTTCATGGCACTGATTAAGGTTGCTTTTTGCTGCCTTTTGGGATTCACAAGTTGAGCCATCATGTTGAATACTGTTTGATGGTCTCTGTGATGGTGGTAATGACAGGTGTCTACATGTTAGGATTATAAGGGGTTCAATTAGATAATTTATATCTTATTCAGATGAAAGAGTATATAACTCATTAATGCAAATTGTAACTCTGGGTGCTTTCAAAAAAAGACAGCTTTGCAATTAAATTGCTGGTGTATTAAAGAAGAACCATGACCCAGAGAGTACCCTGGTGACCCAACTCACACACTATGGCTTTGTGGAGTGTTTTTGTGAAATCTTAGAATTTTTTGAAAGGTAAATTTCATTTCTCAGAATGCAAAGAATTTAGTACTGAATTGTCACAAGCGTCTATACAACCATACTTCACTGCCCAGTTGTATTTCTAAACATAGAACATGATGAGATGTATGCAAACAGCTTATCGTTTTATACTTGTTTTTGTTATTTTTCTCCCAACAATTGGAATATCTGAGCAAAAGCAGATGACACTGGCAAAATATTGTAATTCTTTACAAACAGAATTAGGGCCAATTTACACATCATCACATAGAAACTGTCTATTGATATAGCTCCAAAAATTCTGCTGTGTTTGTTTGACCCTCTTCATTTCCAGTCTTGTGTTTTCTGCTAAATTGTAGAGCTGTTTTTTTTTTTTTTCATTTACATTCTCTTATAATCAAATTCCATCAAGGCTGAATTACTCCTCGCTTCAGCCCTTCTCTTGGCTATTTAACTCTCTTTGTCAGCCTTGCCAGCCTTTGTTCAATTTAACTGCTCTTTTCCTACTTCAGTTTCCCTTTCTAACTTGTCAGTTCGGAATCTAAAATGGCCCTTCCTGAAAGTAGAAGGGAAGCTCTTTTTAATTGACATGTAATTGTAGGAGGCTCTCTTGGATGACCACTGGGAGGGCATTATTTCTGGGGCCTACTCATCTACCTCCACTCTTATTATAGCATTCTTTGGCACCAGTACTAGGTCAACCATCTCTTCTTTGTTCCATTCAGGGAATCCCAGGTCAGGTTTCTATTTAATTTTTTTTCATGGCCTCTCTATCCAGGAGATGCAGTCGTTATATAGAAATGTAATGTTGCACGGGAAAAGAGTCCCCCTTCCTCCTGGCTCCATTTAGTTATACCCACCTCTAGCCCCCTGATTCTAGCTTCCAGTTAATGCAGATCTTGGGGCAGCAATACTGATGGCTCAAGGAGAACATGGGAGACCTGGGTTGAATTCCTGGCTTCAGGGCCCCCTGGCATGTTTCAATTCTATTTTTGAAGTTCCTTCATATATCAGAAGGCTACCTAATCTCACTTTTATTTATACTTTTAAAAATCTGTTGCTAAAGTCCTGAAAAGTCTTCGCTTGTTTCAAATTACTAAAATTTTGACTGTTTCATCATTCCTAAACCCTCCAATTACTACTGTTTGCTGAAAATTTAGTCTGTATTGTCTATGCCTATCACCATCATGTTACTCAGTTCTTCCTGACTTCCAGCCTTTGCTAAGATTGCATACATCAAAGTATGAAACATGTCTGGGTTTATCACAGCTTTATTATGTTAAAAATCAGTGTGATGTATTAGAAAGCCTTAGCAATGGGCTTTGCAAATCTCTGCCAATACCTGAATAGTTTCTATATCCTTAGAACCCAGTTTTTTTCTTCAGGGAAATGAATGGCAATTAGTAGCATAAATTGAACTAGATAACTTTTGAGATCTCTGTCAGTTCTACAGACAGAAGTCTTTTTCTCATTCCCAATAATAAGGAAGCCCTAGGCTTAAGATATCTAGCAATTGAAACAGAAATCAAGATGAATGCATAAACTGGAAGCCCAAATCCCTGTATGAGATTTATTTATTTTTTATTTTTTCAAAAGGCAGAGAGGGAAATCTTCCATCTGCCAGTTCACTCTCCATGTACCTGCAGATTTCTCAGGCTATAGGTAGTATTGAGACAAAGTGAATTTTTTTTTTTTGAAACATGATGCTCATTTAGTCCTTGTAGAAAGTGGCTTATGAATAACTAATATGGAATAGGCACAAATATTTCAAAGTAACATTAGTATTCTGTTTCATATACAAGTATCAAAGTTTGGGAAGTGAGATTGTGTGTGTGTGTGTGTGTGCGTGCGCGCACATGAGTATTCTTATACCTGGGTGTTCTTGCATACCTCTGCTTTGAATAACACATCAGCATTTTGCCTAGGCATGCATCCAGTCATGGACCTACCAGGCAAGAGCTGTCCTCATTTATCAAACAAATAAAATAAGCAGAGGCACTTAGCACAGACGACTTCTCAAGTCACATGGCAAGGCAGTGGTTGAGCAAGCAATACATCTTCACAGATTAAGATTACAGATTCACTTTGCCACATTTGCTGCTTCTGAGGCTTAATTTGTCTTATTATAAAAGAATATGCTAGCTCTTCATGGGGAGAAAAATGAGACAGGAAGCGAGTGCTAGAAAGATGAAACTGATATTTCGACTATCATCTGAAAAAGACTATATCTTAAACTAATAATTTGTAATCAGTGATCATTTGTCTTTTTGTTTCTTTGCAGGTGGTGCCCAGGCAACATGGGTGACTGGAGTGCCTTAGGCAAGCTCCTGGACAAAGTCCAAGCCTACTCCACTGCTGGGGGAAAGGTGTGGCTGTCAGTCCTATTCATTTTCCGAATCTTGCTCCTGGGGACAGCAGTTGAGTCAGCTTGGGGTGATGAGCAGTCTGCCTTTCGTTGTAACACTCAGCAACCTGGTTGTGAAAATGTCTGCTACGACAAGTCCTTCCCAATCTCCCACGTGCGCTTTTGGGTCTTGCAGATCATATTTGTGTCTGTACCCACACTCTTGTACTTGGCTCATGTGTTCTATGTGATGAGAAAGGAAGAGAAACTGAACAAGAAAGAGGAGGAACTCAAAGTTGCCCAAACTGATGGTGTCAACGTGGAGATGCACCTGAAGCAGATTGAGATAAAGAAGTTCAAGTATGGTATTGAAGAACATGGGAAGGTGAAAATGCGAGGGGGCTTGCTGCGAACCTACATCATCAGTATCCTCTTCAAGTCTGTCTTCGAGGTGGCCTTCTTGCTGATCCAATGGTACATCTATGGATTCAGCCTGAGTGCCGTTTACACCTGCAAAAGAGACCCCTGCCCACATCAGGTGGACTGCTTCCTCTCTCGCCCCACTGAGAAAACCATCTTCATTATCTTCATGCTGGTGGTGTCGTTGGTGTCTCTTGCCTTGAATATCATCGAACTCTTCTATGTCTTCTTCAAGGGCGTTAAGGATCGTGTGAAGGGAAAGAGTGATCCTTACCATGCCACCACTGGCCCGCTGAGCCCCTCCAAAGACTGTGGATCTCCAAAATATGCTTATTTCAATGGCTGCTCTTCACCAACTGCTCCCCTCTCACCCATGTCTCCTCCCGGGTACAAGCTGGTCACTGGCGACAGAAACAATTCTTCTTGCCGCAATTACAACAAGCAAGCAAGTGAGCAAAACTGGGCTAATTACAGTGCAGAACAAAACCGAATGGGGCAGGCAGGAAGTACCATCTCCAACTCCCATGCACAGCCTTTTGATTTCCCGGATGATAACCAGAATTCTAAAAAACTAGCTGCTGGACATGAACTACAGCCACTAGCCATTGTGGACCAGCGACCTTCGAGCAGAGCCAGCAGTCGTGCCAGCAGCAGACCTCGGCCTGATGACCTAGAGATCTAGCTGCAGGCTTGAGCATCAAGATTCCACACAATTGTGGAGGAGAAAAAAGGTGCTGTAGAAAGTGCACCTTAGGTGTTAATTTTGTTCCAGTGGAGGTGGTACTCAACAGCCTTCGTTTTGAGGCTTAGGCAACAAACACAAAGACAGTAGAATTCTTAGGTTCATGGGGGGTGTCTGTGATAGGAGGGTGGAAAGGGAGGGAATCGGGGTGGGGTACATGGCGGTATTTAATCTAGTGGATTCAAAGAACTTAAAATTCTAAGTAAGAGTTGCATTAGGTGATAATAGTAAGGGCTTTTTCTCCCCCACACACCCCTTAGAATGGTTCTGTGTATGTGAAAGAGTGGGTGATAACTGTGGCTAAAGATTTTGCTTTGTTTTACCAAGAAACTGAAATAACTTTAGCAAGGATTAAATTCTTCCTGAACATCTGACTTCCTTTGGACAAGGAAAAGACAGGATTCTCTTTAAGTCCCTGCTAAGACATTCCATTTTAAAAGTTTGCACTTTGAAGGTAAGCTTTCTAGGCCTGACCCTCCAGGTGTCAACAGACTTTTGCTACTATATTTTTTTATTCTTGGTATCAATCAAAAATTCAGACAAGGCCCACAGAAAGATTTTCCATGCATTTGCAATGCATTTGCATCTCAGCCAGTTCTGTGCATTAAATTTTACATCCACTTTCATCATATCATTACCATCACTTATTTTCATCATTCCTCAACTACTATTCACATTCATTTAATGGTTTCTGTAAACATTTTTAAACCAGTTGGGAAGTCACTAAAAATTTTTTTTAGTTAGTCAGGGAAGTAAGCCATGCTCAATATTTAACAGTCACTTGTACGTGTGTGTGTGTGTGTAAGAGTGTGTTTTATTTGTCATGTATTGGTACAAGCAGATTCAGTATAAACTCACAAACACAGATTTGAAAATAATGCACACACAGTGTTCAAATTTGAACTTTTCTCATGGATTTTGTGGTGTGGGCCAACATGGTGTTTACATTATATAATTCCTGCTGTGCAAGTAAAGCACATTTTTTCCCCCTAAAGTGTTTCCCCCCTGTGTATCCTATTATGGATACTGATTTTGTTAATTATGATTCTTATTCTTTTTTTTCTCTATTTTTAGAATATAGCAGTGATGCTATTACTGAAATGAATGATTTCCTTTTTCTGAAATGTAATCATTGATGCTTGAATGATAGAATTTTAGTACTGTAAACAGGCTTTAGTCATTAATGTGAGAGACTTAGAAGAAATGCTTAGAGTGAACTATTAAGTGTGCCTAAATGAATTTTGCAGTAACTGGTATTTTTGGTTTTGTCCTACTTAATACACATTAGTTCAGAACTTGTAGCCTACTATATGAGTTTGACAGCCTATGGGAATGACCAGCAACTTTAATGTTTGCACTAAGATTTTATTCAGAATGCAAAGGAGGTTGAAAGAAGTTTCAGTAGTACACATGTAACTAATTTATTTGAACTGTATGTTAAAGATATCTACCAGTTTCTACAAATGTCTTTAAAAGTCATCATAGATGATTGGTGAAAATGTTGAATCATACTTTTGTTGCACACCAGCTACATAAACAGTTTTGTACAATGAAAAATACTAATTTGTTTGACATTCCATGTTAAACTACTGTCATGTTCAGCTTCATTGCATGTAATGCAGTCCTGGTCCATCATCAGATCATGTATTCTGGAGAGTGTTCTTTATTCAATAAAGTTTTAATTTAGTATAAATATAGCTTCGATAAGCTGTGTTTTTTTAAAGCATGCTTTGTTGCATCTATTTGAAATTATCAAAGACATTTCCTTTGATTATGAAGAACTGGACAAAAATTCACATTTTCCTGGGATCTTAAAAAGGGCAATATTTATCATTTGCTATGTTCAGTGCATCATCTTAATATTTATTCAATTAATAAGATAAAATATACAAAAGTGTTAAGTCTGGAATACAACTTTAATGAGATGAGAGTTTAAAATAGGGCAGTATTGAGCAATGAGTGGATTATACATGAAAGAAGTAAGTATGAAAATGTTAGGATACTGAAATTTTAGGATCAACTGAGCCTCCTGGAAATAAAAGTATAAATAACAATAGAGTCAGTTTGAGTATAGTTATACTGAGTGATAAAGGAGGAGCTAAACCTTAGTTATTTTATTACAAGACATGAAGATACAAAAACCAAGATTTTAAAAGCTTAACACCCAAAGAAAAATCAACCAGTCAAAGGGTGTAGAACAATTCTGGTCAGCTGACATACTTAACTTGAAACTAATTTTATGAAATATTTTTGGTGTGTCTGTCTTGTAACTGCACCCATTACAGAGGTCAGGCATAGAATTTTCTACTTGTGGGAACTTGAGTGCACTGATTGTGAGATTTTGGGGCATTTTACATATTGGGTTGAAGGGGGTGATGGGAGGGCATATATTGGTAGTATTTAAGATGCTATTTCGGACACACACTATTTCCTGGTACCTGGATTTAAGTCCTGGCTCTTCACATTTCTATCTTACTGTTAAATGCTCATCCTGGGAGTCAACAGGTGGATGAGTAAAGTACTTGGGTGCCTGCTACCCCTGTGGGAGATACAAATAAGTTCTCAGCTCTCAGAACTGAGAGCTATTGAACACAAATGGAGAGCGAAGCTTTCTAGGAGACACCTTTCCCCATCAATTAAATGTTTTAAAAGAGTGAAGACCCAAGCTTTCTATTTTAGAAAATTTATTTGGGCCGGCGCCGCGGCTCACTAGGCTAATCCTCCGCCTAGCGGCGCCGGCACACCGGGTTCTAGTCCCGGTTGGGGCGCCGGATTCTGTCCCGGTTGCCCCTCTTCCAAGCCAGCTCTCTGCTGTGGCCAGGGAGTGCAGTGGAGGATGGCCCAGGTGCTTGGGCCCTGCACCCCATGGGAGACCAGGAAAAGCACCTGGCTCCTGGCTCCTGGCTCCTGCCATCGGATCAGCGCGGTGCGCCGGCCGCGGCGGCCATTGGAGGGTGAACCAACGGCAAAGGAAGACCTTTCTCTCTGTCTCTCACTGTCCACTCTGCCTGTTAAAAAAAAAAAAAAAAAAAGAAAATTTATTTGAAAGGCAGAGTTACAGAGAGGAGAGACAGGTCTTTCATGAACTGGTTCACTTCCCAAATAGCTGCAATAGCCAGGAGCCTGGAATTTCATCTGGGTCTCCCACATAGGTGGTGGGTCCCCTGGGCATTTGGGCCATCTTCTGATACTCTCCCAAGTGCATTAGTAGGGAGCTGGCTTGGAAATGGAGCTGCTGGACCTCTACCCTGCGCTCATATGGCATGCCGGCATCTTAACCCACAATGATGGCCCCAACAAAATAATTTTAAAAGAAAAATTTGGATTAGGATTCTCAATCTGTTATAGTTTTAAATGTAAAATGTATTGACAACATTTAAATGTAAAATATTATCAAAACTTTTGAGTCCTGTCAAGAAAGTTTACTGATTACCTACTTCAAAACAAACTTCTGGAACATAAAAATGTTAGTAACTTAGAAGTTGCTTTATTTTTTTTTACTATTATTTATATTATTTTTTAACTATTATCATTTGGCTGGTAGAAAATCAGGCAAGTTGTGTGTGTGTGTGTGTGTGCATTTGCATTTACTATGAGGAAAAGGCCTGGTATATTTGAGCAAATGTATGTATGTTACGCATGCCAGGTGTATAAGGAGTGGATAGACAGACTGCTGAATGATGCAATTTCCAACTTGTATTTGAAGGAGGGAGATAAATAGTCATGTAGATCATCCTAAACATTTCCCAACTTTTAGGCTTTTCACTATTTTGAAATATTACATCTGAGGTCAGTGCTGTGGCGCAGTTGTTTAAGTCTCTGCCTATGGTGCCAGCACCCGACATGGGCGCCGGTTTTAATTCTGGCTGCTCCTCTTCTAATCCAGCTCTCAGCTGAGCCTGGGAAAGCAGTAGAAGATGGTCCAAGCCAAGAACTTGGGCTCCTGCACCCATGTGGGAGATCGGGAAGAAGCTCCTGGCTCCTGGTTTCAGATCGGCACTGCTCTGGCTGTGGTGGCCATCTGGGGAGCGAACCATCAGGTGGAAGACCTTTCTGTTTCTCCCTCTCACTGTAACTATCTCTCAAATAAAAAATAAAATCTAAAAGAAAAAGGGAAATAAATATTACATCTACATCATATATATATTATACATTTTATAAATGTATACAGTTTAAGAAACTACAGAGGTCTATGAAATCAGAAATAAAACCTTTTAAACACAACAGAGAAATCCTAATTCATAGAGGAAGCCACTGTTAAGAATTGCAGACATCAACCATCCATCAAGCACTTTGTTAAGTAGTTCCTGCCCTATGAAGCTTACAATGTGAATCCTTCCAGAAGTTTTAAAAATTATGTTCCACATTTTTCATTTTGCTTATCTTAATTGGCTTCCTGCTTTCACGAACTAAATATTAAATTTAACTGGGAGGAAAAATTATCAGAAATTTAAGCAGTTTCACCCACAAATAATTACTAGAAATGCATTTTTTGCCTAAAATTTCATGTTTAAAAAACCCGGGTCTCCCATGTGCATGGCAGGTACCTAGGCACATGAGAGATCATCTGCTGCCTTCCAGGTTGTGCACTGGTAGAAAGTTGGATTGGAAGCGGAGGCTGGACTCCAGCCCAGGCACTGATAAGGTATGCAGGTGTACCAGGTGGCAGCTTAACCTGCTGCACCACAATGCCTTCACCAGGAAGTGTTGTTGTTTTTTTTTTTTGTTTGTTTGTTTGTTTTTTTTTTTTAATGAGGTAGTTACTTCAAATTTTCACCTATTTGTTTGAAAAACAAAGAAACAGACAGAAAGAGTTCCAAACTGCCTCTTACCCTACAAAGGCCAGAGTCAAGGCCAACTGGGAACTCAATCCAGATCTCCAGGAGATGCCTGCAGGGGCCCACCTGCTGCCTCCCAAGATGCACATTAGTGAGGAGCTGGAATGGAGAACAGAGCTGGCACCAGAACGCGAATCCAAGGACTTTTTCTTTTTTAAAAGATTTATTTATTTACATGAAAGAAATACACATAGAGAGAAGGAGAGGCAGAGGTCTTCCACCTGGTGGTTCACTCTCCAGTTGGCTGCAACAGCCGTAGCTGTGCCAGTCCAAAGCCAGGAGCCAGGAACTTCTTCCGGGTCTCCCACACCAGTGCAGGGGCCCAAAATCTTGGGCCATCTTCTACTGCTTTCCCAGGCAATAGCATAGAGCTGGATTGGAAGTGGAGTAGCCGGGACTAGAACCGGTGCCCACAGAGGAGGCTGGCACTGCAGGCAATGGCCCCACCCGCTATGCCACAGCAACGGCTCTGAAACTCAGGGACTTTGATATGAGTTAGATACCAGCCCCAAAAATTCTTATGCAACACCTCTGCCTTTATATGAAATTCCCTAGCTTTTTGTGAGAGGTTATACATGTATTTTGTATCATTGTTTTGATTCTGAGTTTTATTAACAAATTTTTCTACATATTTTCTAAAGTGGCAGAATTGGTTAATGTTTTTAGATATTGGAAAGAAGCCCAATGCCTTTCTTTTTTTCCTGCCTTCTCACCTTAACCCCCATACATTTTTATTACACCTCCAAGACAGGAGCTACTCATTCAATGTATTTTGTGAAAATTGCTGAACTTCTCGACCTGCCCAGGGGTGAGAGTTCCTTCCCCGCCCACACAGTGTCTCTTCTAAAAATTCCAAACTTCAAATTTCAACATGTCAAAACATCTGTGCTTTGTACTCACAGGGAGAGGAAAATAACCAAGTTTGGGGTCTTATTAAAGTCTTAAAGTGAGTTCTCTCTATAAACAGTGCACCGACAGTGTAGAAACATGTTTATAATCTTTACTGGCTCCAAGATTCTGTTTCTACCTTTCCTTGGTTGGGCAAATATAGCCGAGCCCTTGGCATGTCAGAATTTGCAGCTGGCAATTTTCAGAACTCAAGAGGAGGCATGGAACAACACAGAAGCAATGCTTCAAGAAGACTCTACAAGTATTGTGTAGAAAAGAGAGCTAATTTGGAGAAATTTTCACATTTGTTTCTTGGTCTTCAAAAGTGTTGAAATTGTAAGGCAGATCCTTTCTTGTGACCTCCAGATGTTTCTTTCAAATGACCAAATGCTTATTCGGGCTATGACACATAGCATGATTTCAATGCCCACACACTTTTCTGTGAATACAAAAACAGCCTCAAGAGGCAGTCACTTTGAAGGCAAACCCTAGATGTGAGTCTTACTGAATGAAGAAATGAATTCTTTTTCCATTTAACAAAGTGGAGCTGGTTCTGGCTTTTGTGCTAGCATTGCTTATCAGTCAGTTACTCTCTATAAAACTGTTCGTCAGAATTAGTAGAGACAGTAAATTGGGCTTCAGTTGCTATGGTAGCAGAAACCATAAGGGTTGTTTTATTTTAAAAGTAAATAAAGAGAAGTGTGAGATTGCTTTCTGCTTTGAAAAACTCACATCAGAGTTACACATTTAAGATATTTATTAATCCTGAACACAGATAATTTAGAAATTTTTCTTGACCCAAATTTAAATTAGAGTCTAAATTGTGAGAAAATGACTCCAATTGAAATGTACTCAGATAACTACTAGGTAAGGCTAAGAATTTGAGATATGCTGAAACAGGACTTGAAGACTCAAGTCCAGCTAGTGTCCCAAAGTTCTAATTGGCTACTGCCTTTGAAGATTTGGT